CTTTAACTTTTCTTTTAACTTCATTAAATTGCGTACAGTCATCTACCAACCTCCAGATAGTGGTACCCAATCTCTTCTAGCCCAAGACACCATTTTATGTCAATAATTACAATCAATTTGTATGCATTACAAATAGATCGTGGGAAAAGCACGACGGGTGGGCCGCGGGTCTCACTTCGGGAAACGCCACTCTAAATAAACAAGCATGAAAGGAAAACAAACAGGCAAAATGATTTTACATTACTGATGATAAGGGTTAAAATTTTACTCAATCCCCATTTAGCCCACTTCGGGTATTGTGTCGAAGTATTTTTCTGCGCATTTTGTTGCAAAATACTTCGCGTAAGTTTTCTTATTTTGTGTGGCTTATTTACGACACCGTCCGTGTCTACAATACACCATCTGGCGTCGAATAGTCGGGTAACTGATTAATGATGAACTAGAACGAATTTAGAAGGAAGCGGTCATGGCCTAATAGAAGTACTATCCCGGCAGGAATGCATTATTATTATTATTATTATTATTGTCTATTGTTAATTTTTAATAAGTGGCAATTCAGGGAAATATAACAGGACTTTCACAATAAGAGATCATGTTTGAACACGTATACAAAACAATGAAATCGTTGTTTTATTTACATCCCTTAACTGTAGATTGCTAGTTCAAAATAAATGAAGTGCTGAAATGAACTCAACCGCCACTTCATGTACGAATGGTAATTGCTATTTTAAAGGTGGAATAAGCAAGAAATTTGGATTTGAGGTCGTCATGGCGGTGACTGAGAAGATTACGATGCACTGCATCCTAGGATGTGGTGCCTTGCAGTCTGATATATTTGTATTGACGTTAATCCGAAACGTCGGTATCCACAGAACCATACGATACCACATCCCAGAACACAGTGATCTTCAAGCACCAAATTTAATTTGGTTTTCGTATTACTGCTGTCAACGCGAAATGACAAATTAATCTATACCCGTATGCATGCCATGCAAGATAGGCAGCAATGTTTCAGCTGTACAAAATGTATTCTATACCTCATTAAGACGTATACCTTCTTGCTCAAAACATTTTTCGTTACAATGTACTCGCCTGTTTATGGAAACACGACGCTCTGCTTTAATCTCTAAAAACGCAGAAATGACGGTGCACAGGCATTGCACGTATCTTGTCACATACAATTGACCTCGACTACGTCAACTCTAAAACGAAACTGACTATTGGTCGGTACACCACTGTTGGTCACTGAATATACAGGTTCAAGCCGTGAGCGTTCTGTAACCATCTGAGCTACTAGGGTGCGTACCTTCATTTGCCTGAAGACATATGAACTACATAATTCATTTAGGGCGACGGTCTCCATAACTTACTGAAATTTAATCTCAATCGTTGGAGTTTTTTTTTCGAGAAAACGTTCATTTTGTTTTGAGGGGCATATGTGGATGGTTCCTGATGTTGGAGACAGAATGCTTATATTCATCGGACACCGACTTATGATGGATACTCTCAAATAAGGAATATGAACATAATTCGTGGAATCGCTAAACCGTTAGAGGGGCGCACATCCATACAGATAGACAGACAGCATAGCAAATCCCCTTTTTTGTGTTCAGGATTTTCACCGTCAGAGTACCTACTCACATGAATTAAGCTTTCATTTTCATGGGTGCTGGAAACATACAAATCCGTAAGAATCGACATTTTTGTTTCGCCATAATAATATTTTCTCATACATATCACTTATATGGGGAGCCGGGATAGTGTAGTCGGTATAACGACTAACTACGGGGCTGGACGACCGAGGGGTCAGAGTTCTAGTCTACTCCACGTCGTCCAGACCGGTTCTGAGGCCCACCCAGCCTCCTATCCAACGGGTACCGGGTGCTCCTTCCCAGTGGGTAAAGCGACAGGAGGGTGAAGCTGACCACTCACCTCCAGCTAATGCCGAGGTAAAGAAAATGTGGATTTATACATACATTCCTCCATACGCCTTGGGGGAGCAGTGCTTAATTAGTTAAGCACAAGGACAATTTTACCTTTACCTTTTATCACTTATATGAGAAAGTAAAATAAACACCAAACTGGACGCGCAAGTGATCTATGGTTGCAGACAACTTCTGGTTCAGCCTTCTTTCTTCTTAGCTCCTTTACAGGCGACCCCATCAGGGTTGCTGCCTACAGTTTGCAGTCATCACTGTAACCATATCCGTCTACGTTCTGTGGCGACCGACATCAGTTAACACTGACAAATACGGTGATTAGTGAAATGGATGTCTGGAAGTGACAGCTAGGACCCCATGCGGTAACAATGACTCAGGCTCATGCTGAGTCCCGTAACGGAGCACGTGCAGCAAGACGGCTTATTCAGACGTCAAGCTTCATCTCCCTCCTGAACTATCAACCTTTTGCTCCAGCGTAAACAATTTCTGTACGCTGCTTAAATAGGAAACTGCAAGAAACGGACACATCATTAACAGAAAATATATATCTCTTGTGTGGATGAAAAGATAAATTTATTTAATGCTGAACTGCTTAGCGGAAATGGAAAACAACTGTAGGTCCTATGAAACGAACGTCAAAATATAAGTACCTGAAAAGAAACTGCGTAAAACATGAGTATAATAACATTGCTTTCTGCAGGTTCCTGGGTATTCTTCACTCTTAAGCATGCAGTTCATATACCCTTCAGCAACATATCTCATTGTTATTGAATCTGGCATAAAGGCGTAAAAACAACCTGCTGACCTTCGGGGTCGAATAGTTATTAGTCCTGCTTTGTAATCTAGGTGTCTCGGGTTCGATTCATTGCCCAAAGGTTGGCTATCTGATGAGGTTCTTCATGGATTCTCTAAGTCCCGCAGGGAAAACGTGTGATCGCTTAAAATAGACCGAGATATCCATCCTCAATTCGTCGTTCACAGCTATCGTAGCTTTCAAGACCATTACCTACGCAGTAAACTAACATCAAACAAGGAACTGGATCAACACGTCCAGCAAGGCTCTGCGCCCACTGGGCCAACTGCCAGGGATGTTGCTTCCTCAGTTAAGAGTAGCACGAGGATGACGTTGATCATCTCAATCGTCGACCGAATATACGAAGAAGAAGAAGAAAGGAACTGTATTTAAAGTTGTGCCAGAATAACCACACAGCAATCAGAGACATCTTACTGACTACATAATCACCTTGGTTTCACATAAACTTGTTCCAGCAGTTCACCTCCGTGTTACCTGTACGTTATTGTGGCTTTCTGCTACGCATAAACTAGCAGAGAGAATTACGCTGCTTATCAGGAACCAATACGAGTTCGCCTCGCTTGTACAGCAACTTCTCCGTCTTTGCTGTATTGCGCACAGTCTAAAACACATTATATCATCAATACACTTGGTCGTCGACTTCCGACCGACTTCCGTTCTGACTGACAGGTCGTAAGTCGATTATTTATTAACAGTATTTTTTAACCTTTCTAATCTTTTTATCATCTTTATAATTTATTTTTAAAAACTTTTACATTTTAATCATCTTTTATTTTTCATTTTTTTTTTTTTGGTCGTAAGTCGACGACCAAGTGTACTCCTGCAAGTAAAATGTGTCCAGTACGCACCGTATCGAGAAAGATCGGGGCGTCTTCGTTAAACCATTTTCTCCGTAGGTCACGCAAACATTCTGCGGACTGAAGTAGGCGTACTGAACATTTGTCAACGCTGTTTATTTTCACATGTTTCAAATAAACTCCCAACACTTCCACCATCATGATAAACAATGCACGATTAGGCTAAATTACCGCTTTGGTTCACCTATGTAGTTAAGCCCTCCATCTTTCCTTCTTATTCTTAATGCTTTGTATCCTGGTACCTGCTTTGGTATTTCATTTGTCTCCGTTCTATATGTGTTACTGAATACACATTGTGACGTGGATGTCGCAACGCTCGGTAAACACCCTCCCTCCGCGGTGACGTAACAGCATCGGAGCAACTGCCGCTGCTACGGTAACAGGCCAGTCAATACTCCATCCCCTTCCCCCGCGGTGACGTAACAGTACTTCCCACAGTGACGTAACAGGTGATACCGCGGTTACTACGCAGCAATAAACAACTCTCGGCAGCGTTCCCCATCAACGACTTTGTCCATCATCCTGTATTCTTAAAAAAGGCCCACAGAACACATTTTGGAAATGGGCTCTGTTTCCATCCTCGGGTGATGGGGAACTTTCTTCACCTTACTATTGACATATTAATATCTTGCTTAGTTTCAAGTTCAAATTTCCAAAATTGGTGTTTTATTATAGCAGTGATATCCAATTTTGAGTAGCTCATGTTCCATGACATTTGAGGTTCTCATAGCAATCACCATTTCGGATAAAACATCTTCTTGAATATGGAAGCAGGAAATTCCTCCAAAACGTTGGCAAATATGAGACTAAAACGCACTACACCCCCGAAGGCAGTAATCTTCAGCCTGAATTATCTTTACGAAACAACATGACAAATTGACTTCTACATGCATGCAAAGGTAAAAGGTAAAATTGTCCCTGTGCTTAATTTAAATAATTAAGCACTATGGCATGAAGACATATGTGTGAGAGTGGAGGTATGGCTACACCATTCTTGACCTCAGCACAAGTTGGAAGTCAGTGGTCAGCTACACGCTCAGTCCAGTTTACCTCTGGGGAAAGAGCCCCGGATACCCACTGGATAGGAGGCTGGGTGGGCCCCAAAACCGGTCTGGACAACGTGGAGAGGAGAAAAATCTTGAACCTACCGGAACTCAAACTTGACACCTCGGCCAGTTGAAATACCGACTGCGCTATCCCGGCTCTGTATATGCATGCAATGAAGTAAGAATTAGGAAACATTTCCATATGTAAATGAAGCTTTATATTCTGTCCTGATAGGAAATGACAGACCAGTTCTTCTAAAGAGTCCATGTTATATGATTCTGAAGTGGAATGTACTGCAGCTTTGAATGTAGTGGAAAGCAGAAAAGACATATCAGTACGTACTGTAGTCTTCTGGTGATAATGACAGATCACGGCGACACTCCGGCAGATCAGTAGGCTCCCAGCAACCACTGGGGGCGCAGGTTAGCACAGAATATCCGTACAATGTGAAGCCGGGCTGGCATGCATACGCAACTTCACCATGTACATGGTATCGTCCATCAGTTGCAGGACCGAACAAGGACCCGTGCTCGATGCTCGGAGGAGACACACACCCTTCCACGGGAACTGCAACCATAAGAATAACCACAACTTGCTACTATGCATCATCAGCATTTATTGTATTTGAAACTAACATACAATGCAATCCTGCTTGAAAAGATGATGGCCGACCAGCTGGTTGAGAAATTCCCACCTTTTGTGCAACCAGAAGGTTCATTACTGTCTTCACAAGAGTCTGAAACTGAAACCCATCTCGAACTATGTCATTCCAGTCTACACCCTCACTCATCTTTCTATAATGCATCGTAATATTATTCTCTCATTTATACCTTCTTCTCCGAAGGGGACATTTCCCTTCAGGCTTAACGATCACAATTTCTTACGCACTCTTACCTCCCCCATGTGTGTCATATGTCCCGCCCATCTCCTCATTCTTGATATAATCACACCAGGAACACTTGGTGAAAAGTACAAGTTGTTAAGGCCCTCATTATGCACACAGACGCGTTCCTCCAGGGAGGAGGGCCCCCAGTCTGAAGGTTCCGAAAGCTGTCAGGCAGTAAAATATGGTCATCGGTACCACGAGACTCGGAACCAAGAATAGCTGTGCTGGTAAGGACCAGCACCAGTTGCCAGATAGATAGATTGGGGATTGCATGCTAGGCTGACGACCTTGCTCCGTGCAAAACTACTGATGCGAAATCCTAAGAAGTGAAAACCGGATGGTTTAATCTGACAAAATCTTCTAAGGAAGGTTATAGCTCAAAAAGGGTTGTTTTGCCAGTAATGATAATAATATTTTAATTTCTGGCTTTGTAAATAGGAGATAGAAATTTAAAGGATGAAGTAAAAATGTAAAAGTTGTCTCTACGCTTAATTAAGCAAGACTCCATGAAGACAGGCGAAATGGCGTCCACTCCGACAGCCTGGTCATTATACAGACTGGCCTGTAACAGCTTCTTAGGAAGATTAAGCTTTCTGAATTAAAGATTATCAAAATAAATGACGTTGTGGCCTCAGTAATAGCCTAATATTTTAAACTCTTCATTCAGTACTTAATTCTGAAATCTCGAGACTTGTGGTGGCACAGCACTCAGCTCCTGGAATAAGTTAAATAATATCGAAAAGTAACGAACCACCCTGTAACTGCAAGTCATCAGTCCTAAAAGCTCATATAAAACGCAAACGTGGACAGTTCGAATTTATAACACACTTTTCCTTATTTTATAAGGTCAGATATGAACATGGTACCATCATATCTATGAGAATGCGTGTCTGTCGGTGACTAATGACTTCTGAACCAAATTGATTTTCATTAAATATATAAATATCATGTCATAATAGGCCATACAACCTTTGTATCTTTTTAATTTCATATCCACCAGTATTAACGACAGATCGGGTATACGAAATTTTGAGGTGGGAACGATCGAAACGGCACTTTACGAGATAATAAACCTTCTAAAATATATACTGTGACATGCTGAGCTATGAGCCCTCCCCCACCCCCCGCCAGCCGTGATGCGCCGAGCGAAGCCGAAGCGAGCCGATGTTAGCCGAGTCCTAGGATCCTGGTCGCTAGGCAACGCGAGTCAACAGCGGTGACGTCACCAAGTAGTAACAGCGGTTACTACCGCTAGCGTTGCTAGCAACACAGCGCCTAGCAACAAGGGTGCCTATTACGTGGCCGTATTGTCCGATCGAGGCTACATAGGGAGCAGCGAAGGCTATTCACAGTCAGTTGTACTGAGTCAGTCAGTCAGTCCTGGAGCTACCTACGAGTCAGTCCTCGAGCTACCTCCGAGTTATTTCCGAGTTAGCCAGCAACCAGTCAGTTGTATTGTGGCATTTGGAGTGTACTATTTGTGATACTGCAGATAGCAGTAATCGTAAATCTGTAATTTGGGTGATTGTAAGAGCGAGTGTGAAATAAAATTCGCTATATAAAATACGGCGTGAACTTATTTGTCGCGATATACGCCCGATACGCGACAATACTGTCTATTATGGTAATTGTTGTTTCGTGTAAAATAGTAGGTAGGCAGTGAATTCTACAAGCTACAAAGATTTTGGGCTGGTGGTCACAACTGAACAATGATATCAGGCAAGTGAAATTCTGCACACGCATAGATGATAAACATACAAATAAATATTGTTACAAATTACTCCTTTTATTTGTAAATAATTACCAACATGGCAATAGTGAGGTGTAAAACGCTGTGTGTGTGTGTGTGTGTGTGTGGTGGGAGGGGGGGAGAGAGGGGGTTAAGTGTCAAATGCTATTTCCGCCTAGTTAAATTCAAGTTAATAGTCCATAATTTTACTCGGACTAAAAATAAATAAAATTATATATATAAGGTTGTTTAAACGAGACTGACAGACAAACTGTGGGTAAAATGGCAAAATTAAACAAATATGGTGCCTTAAGTGATACGTAGTCAGGCTGTATATGTACCTGTAATTGGGATTAGAAAACAATAACAGTAAGTGACACGATAGCACAGACTTCTTTAAAATAACACAAGAGAGCGTGAGCTATATAGATTTGGCACACTGGATTCACTACAGCTCATGGCAACACATGCTCATATGTTTGGTGTGTGTGACCAGTCCAAATGTATGTGAGGATGACTCCTGCTTTCTGAAAGAGTTAACGGGAGACTGCCATATCCGCACGGCTGGATTCACAAGTTGCAATTTGCCGCCCACGCCAATTCGTCTCGTCACGAACACTGAGAAGCTCAGTCTGATTTAAAATTTCGGGGCAGGTGTCTTCTTCAGCAGATGAATAGGAGGCCTAGTTACTGGCGACGCCCGTGTGGCCAGGTGGTCATAAAAATCCCTTCTTTCATGGGGTTGGGATATTTGGCTCAGACATTGGCGCTGCCAAGACTTTTCGAGGGGAGACAGCCAGAAAACTTACTTAAGAACGTATGCCGATTTCGTTCAAGAAGTTGTTAAACGCTTTTAGTTTTTCTTGTTAATATGTTATAGTTCATTCTCTTTCAATGTGTACTTTAAAAGATCCAAGAGGGGTAGACACCTGTTGTATCCCAGTATTTCAAGGATATTCCTATCTTAAACCACGAATTGAAGTGCAGTCAGACTTTGACACTGAAATCCTCATATGCACAAATAACGGGGATTAGACCTTAACGAGCTCTGTACACTATAATGTTCTGTACAAATGCTTGTGCGAGAAGCTGTTCGAGAAAACAGATACATTTGTATTTAAACTTCATGTGAAGTATCGGCAGACTTTACATCTGACTGATAAAAGGTCGAGGTTCCCACACTTTCTAGACAACTGGCTCACATATGGTGGTGAGGTTGTCAGCCTTATGCGCCGGCCGGCTTTACGGCACGTAAAAGAACCTCATGCCTCAAGGAGGCCTCTGAGCCAAATTATAACGGACATTTCCCGCCCAACAATAGTCTCTAACGCCTCTGGTAGATGGGGGAAGCATCTAGATACCGCTGAGCCAGTAGAGGCCGAACTCGCTGGCTGAGTCGGGACTGATGGCACGCACCAGTACCGGTAGGGTATAGAGACTGGTAGAATATCACAGGGGGACGTACAATAGACCACTGGTCGCGGTGCATGGGGAAACCCACCCCCTCCAATAATAATAATAATATGCGCCGGCCGCCCTTTACCACCAGGAAGATTCCTGGTACTCATTTCTGTTCGAGGCTGAGTCGACTACAGGGCCACAGTACGGCTGGAAGGATTATACACCTCATCGCGAATCGAACCCGCGACCTTCGGCTTGTAGCATAGCGCCTCAACCAACTACGCTACCGCGTGTCCCTTTACATCTATGTGTCAGAAAAATAATTATGTAGATTCGTTTAATTTCAGTGCAAGCCCACTGAGATTTGTTGTGGTTTTCGACATGAAACATGAAGACGGACAGACCTCTCTAATATGCCTCAATTTAGGCAATTTGTATAAAAAAACACCTAAAGGCCGAAAATGACAATCGTTGTAACCATTTGTTATCGCATTCTTGTCCACATTTATTGAGCCCAAGCAGAGATACAAGAAACCTTCCTCGTGCTACATCCCGACCACAGCCTGAGTCTTTTCTACCAAAATACAATTATCTATATTTTCATACAGCGCTACTTGGATGCAGGATCAGACTTATGTCAAGAAAAAACGAAAAGACACGACCATGTATTGCGCGAGAGTCGAATCAGCCACACCAGTGTTGCAGAGAAAGGGGACAATTTACGTCTTAGCCCTCATGGCCACTGGGATCGGCCATCAAGTAATCTTATGTTTTTATATACCTAATTCGGCCATTAGATTGTAAATATCTTGATATTTTATACGATTTTACGTCTTTAAAAATCTTGACTCTACAACGACATTAATTCACTTCATACATTTGTACTGTCAACTAAACTAAATAACTCTTTACAATAAAAACGTGTTTTCCTGTCCATTAAAACTGTTATTTATTCTCTACAAGCGCGATAAATCTATCATGCGTGTTCTCAGAACAGTATCCGATAAATATACAAGCATGACAACGTTAAGTAACAGTTCAAAATTCGGTGTTACTACCTTATATTAACTTGACGGGATGTATTTTTTCGCATCGGGACTCCGCCAGCAGACTTGTGCATTCGATAGAAAGATACACAGTAAAGCTAGCCCTGTAACAGGCCGTGGAGACCCATGGTTGTGAGACGTCAAGGCTTCCACATTTTCTAGACAATCGGCTCAGAGATGGAAGCGAGGTTGTCAGTCTTACGCGCCGGCCGCCCTTTACCCCCGGGAAGATTTCTGACACTTGTTTCTGTTCGAGACTAAGTCGACCCTAGGCCATAGTGCGGCTGGAAGGATTAGTTAATTGAAAAATCCAATGACCTCATCGGGAATCGAACTCGCGACCTTCCGGCTTCTAGCATAGTGCCTCAACCAAATGAGATACATATAAGGTATTTAAAAAAGTCAATATTTGATGAACTTTACTGCAATAATCGAAACTCGAAAACAACATATAAATAAAGCACTATTACTATTTTAATTAGTGTACTGTAATTCAGTTAACAATATAAGGGTTAGTATGCAAGCCAGATTACTGATTAAAGCCTAAGTAATGTACTAGCTATATGTACAATTTGTGAACGGAGAAGTTCATGGAGGTAGGTCTAGGCCCACTGGGGCTGTAGTGCCAAGGAAAAAAATGTACAATTTGCTCTGGCATTAATAAATACTGCATTTTTTCCCCCCAAAGATTGTATTCAGGAGTTCTGTATGGTTTTCAGAATAAACAGCAATTATTTGCTCTAAATAATATTACTCAATTTTTCTCAGAACAAACTGAGATTATTTCCCTGAACAGCATGAATCGGTTGTTCTTTACAATGAAGGGGCAATGTTTTCCGCGAGGTAGGAACGTAATTTTCAAGCATTTTTCACAGAAAGTATGCACACACAAAAACTCTGTAAGACTTTTTCAAATAAAACAACAGAGAGATGGGGCTAACGTTAAGTTAAAAAGGTAAAGCTGTCCCCGTGCCCAAATTAATTAAGCACCATATTATGAAGACGTGCGGGGGAATGGAGGTATGGTTCCGCCATACTTGACCTCGGAACTTAGATGGAGATGGTCAGCTTCACACCCCGGAAAATTTACCACAGAAGAATCAGCCACCCGTACTCAATGAGCATAAGAGGCTGGATGGACCCCGGAGCCGGTCTGGAGTTCCCTTGCCGTGAATCAATGCCCGACCGTAGAGCCCGAAGCACGTTGCTATACCGACTGAGCTATCCCGGCTGTTCCTAACGTTAGGGTTCGCTGGGTTATAATTCCCTGTAGTCCGTTGAAAGTCAACTGACGTTTCGGAGGAACATACTGTCAGCGTGAAAGCAGGTAGCAAACAGAACAGTGTCTCTGTTTACCAACTGCTTTCATGCTGGTTTCTTGCTTCGCTTATTCTTCGACCCTGAAAATGGAGGCGATATGTTCCTATGAAAAGTAGGTTCACTTTCAACGGACTACAGGGCGTTACATCCCAGATGACAGAACTCTTCATAACCACCGCTGTGAGAACCTGCCATCCTATATTACAATGTCAAGTTTATTCACCAGATGAGAATATACAATGGTAAGGCACTTACAAACACCAAACATTAAAATAATCAATTTAGACAGAAAAAACAGACGGAAGGACCTCACTTAGGACTCGGGGCACCTATAAGGTATTTTCACTTCAATAAATTGATAATGGTATGTTTTCGCAATTACAGCACCATTATCTACACTATTAACATAAGTTTTTATTTCTCCTGTGATTTTAGAGTCAGCAATTCTGCCGCAGACTGTACTGAAATGCTTTCGTAACATCTTTATGTAGCAAATAAAATATCTGGCACGGCAAATTGACGGTACTAGTGAATATGGGTGTTCTGCATGTCAACCTTGTTTGTGGTCTCACAAGATCAAAATGTGTGAATATGAATGTGACTCGGTCCGTCTAGATAATAAAAACACTGACCAAATGTCTCGCCGATTATTTAAAGAACCATCTCTCAAGCAGACAAAAAGAGCATAAAATTGGTCACAACATATATTCTTCTCCTAATCACTTATGGTGCAAAGTGTTCACACATAGGATACATGAAAATGAATCAAGAAGTTCAGTATATGTCTGCAGAAAATAACAGTTCCTGTCTCTCATATAACCACTCACTCACTGAAACAATCACACGCGCGTGCGCACGAGATCGTTATAACAAATATTCTCATCACACAAACACACTCGCGTGTGCACGAGATCGTTATAACAAATATTCTCATCACACAAACACACTCGCGTGTGCACGAGATCGTTATAACAAATATTATCATCACACAAACAAACCCGCGTGCGCACGAGATCGTTATAATAAATATACCTATCGAACTGAAAAAACTATGTGTGTGCACGTGAGTGCGTGTGTGAATCAATCAATTCCATTACAACTAGAGATTCACTGAACTTGTCGACAAAGTTATGGTAACCTACAGAAATTCATCCTGATATGACGATTTCGAATCTGGAAGCACAGATTTTCCATCACTTCACAGGTTTGTGCAAGGAATTTTGAGTCAAAAAAGTGTGTTTTTTCACTTTCATATTTTTATGGCTTCAATATCTTTCATGACCTCTGACGCGAGAAAATGGTGTTTTATTAGCGAATAAATTCGGTTATTATTTAAATAACGTAATTATTTTAAACTGAGAAATGACATTCATGTACATTCCATACAAAACTTGGAGAATTACAAAAATCAAGTGTGTTAGAAGTTCTTTGTTGTCATTTCTGTGATCAGCCTATCGATGTAGTAAAAAAAAAAAGGTTACTCTGCACTTGTTATAAAAGAAGAATGAAAGCATACTGGAAAAATGTTAGCAGTTGGAAACACACAGGTACTCTTTCTCCGAACTTCATCTTCCTTAGCAATAAGACATTTCAAAACTCAAAACATATTTCCATGGTTGGGTTATAAAAATAGTCTTTACTTCACCTAAACATTATTGTTTATGAAAAACTGCTACTTCTAGAACGCAGTGCATCTGGCCAGGCCTGTAGAGCATGGAACAGCCTTTAACAGATAAGTTTGTCCAAATATCTTCTTACAGGGCCAAGCCAATTCAGTTTAAATTTTCGGTTTCTTTCTAGTCTGTGGAGTCGTCACAACGAAAAGTTACAAAATGTGCAATAGTACATGTTTGGAGGAGGGGATTTCTCTTGGATTCTGTGGTTCCTGGACTTCAAAATTCCAGACAGTTCACTATCCAACAGGAGTTTCCATTCAATTTTCGGCCAATTCAGACACAAAAACTACGTCACTTCGATAAAGTACAATTTCTGGTGTTATAAGCCGTACAAAGTTCAAATTCACAAAAGTGTAAGAAAAATTTAGTTCCGTTAAGTATGGTTTTCTGTGTTATCAAAGAGTTAATAAATAATTACTGAAAGAGCAAAAGTCTTGGAGTGGTGTACGTGACTGTAACATAAGGCTCTTCCTGACTTGCCCTAGCCAGGCCCGTAGAACCCTACATAAGAACTCATCTCTACCAATACTGCGCACAACCCAGCTACTCCCGACTTGTCCTTACTTGCGAGACACTTTAGTAATCGTAGGCGTAGAGAACCCTTGCCTACTAGCACCATCAACCACAATTCTCCTTCCTTCCCATGTAACTTCTCGACATCCACGAGACAGGGAAGGAGTGCAGTGTAATTTCAGTTAAGGCGTCCAGGAACACGGCGAAGGTGAAGAGCAAAGGAAAAGGAGGGGCAGTCATAGAAATAACCGAACAACGAAAGGGCCCAATGACTACTACAAGTGACGTCCAACGTCCGAGCATAAGAACAGTTACACCTGGCGTCCAAGCGTAGGACGTAACATAGTTACAAGTGGTTCCCAACGCGTGGCTCAAGTTCACCCGTGGGGAAGACTATTACAATAACTCGGGGCGAACCGAAGAGAGACCACCATCTCGAATAGCACGTCTATTACCGCGTCCATTCGTTTCCACGGGAACATGCTTGTAGAACCGTTGTCTAGCAATTGTCATATGCGTCACAATAACAAACTGGGCCATGACCGCTTCCTTCCAGAACCTTTCAAATTCATCATTCACAAATCATCGCATCATTCGACGCTGTACAACCTGAGCTACTGACAGCATCATTAAACAATCCATAGATCAATAAATGAACGCGAAACTGTGTTTGTGTGTGTACGTACTGCACTCTAGGAGGGCGCCCTGTACTATCTGCCATGTCGCCTTTTCGCAGCGGAGCAGGGCGGGCTGGCAGGGAAGGCGGGCATCGCGGTACCCGGGTTCACATCGCAGCTCCAACTCAGTGCCGGGCGCGGCGCTGTTCGCGTTCTGTCGGCCCCTCAGTGTCACAGCACGTGTGTGCGGCGCCGCCGGCAATCGTGGGCAGTCAGTCTCTTCTGCCTCCTCCTCCTCCTCCTCTTCCTCCATCTCTGCAAGAATCCAATGACATAACCCTCAGCTTGCAACAATGGGCGACCTGTTACGGTTGGTTCACAGCACTCACCGTACTCATTCATTATGTGCGGGGGGGCAGAGAATGCATAATTGCCATGGCGTTCGGCCATTCATTAATCTGTCATCAGCTTCCTTGCGTATACTGCATGAAAACCGCAACCTAGCAAGTTAATAAATTATGATAATAGGCAATTGTCCTAGCCAATCAGAGTGGATGCGCAGTGTTGGGTCGCTGGAACATCAGAATCGCAAGGTCGAATCCGGCTTCGGGAACAAATGTGTGTCCGCGTGTTTCTCTATTGTGCTACGGACGCCTAAGTCGAGGGCATGGGAAGTGGCGATCGAGGGAATCCTAATCAATTGAGGATTAAATTTTTCAGAAACAGTTCCCAATAGACGAACTGAGAAACACATATTCTATAATCGTGATAACACTGTTGAAAGTCGAAAGGGAACTTTCAGCTGTAATTACATATACATGTACGATATTTTTCAAACGCATTCTGCTACCGCAACTAAGTTCATTCGCTTATTCGTCCACACCTGCAACAACTTCCACTTCAGTCAAGAAATAATAGTTGTATCTACTTTAATCGGGATTTTATAATTGTTACTGGTAAGAATTTTTGTTAAGTGGATTCGGTTCTTTACTGTATACACAAAAAACGAACTGTGCGAACTGGAGATCGGGTTTCACAGAATGTTTTAATTTAAGTGTTTCCTTCTTAGGTAGTACAATTTGGTTCATCTAATCATCTCTAAGCCGGTCTAAAGCACGCAATGTCTTCGCTCGCTCGGAAGCCTAGATCATGGGTTCATGGACGTTTAGTGTCTGTGTACAGATAGAGGCCTTGGGACGAGCTGATCACCCGCCCAAGAAATCCCACCGAATGACTAAGATCCTGTAAAACGAAGTGAAACGGAGAGTTTCACGGAGGTAGGCCAAGGCCCAAATTGGGGCTGTAGCACCAAATGAAAAAAAACATCATCTCTAAAAGAGTACGCTGTATATAAATAAATATCATGTGACACATACAAATAGAGGAAAGAGTGTTCAATGAACGCCATTTCATTTGATCCATTATGGAACAATAATGAATTGTATCAACAGATTTCAGGGCCGCGCCATAGCTCAAGCGGTTAGTCGTTGGCTTCCCACCACGGCGGCCCAGGTTCGATCCCGGGGTCTGGTCAAGTGGGATTTGTGGTGGACAAAGTGGCGTTGGGGCAGGTTTTCTCCGTGTACTTCGGTTTCCCTGCCAATCTTCATTCCACGAACTGCTCTACAATCACCCTCACTTATCATCTGTGGCTGGTACAATAGGCCAGAAGTGACCGCAGTACAAGGGACTTAGTCCCACCCCACTAGCAACAAAAAAAAAAATCAACAGATTTCACGCAGCATTAAATTTCATAAAAATTTGCTCCGTCACCATAGTTCGTGTATAAACTTTACAGAATTTTACAAGGTGTTTCGGCTCTTAATGATCATCATCAGGTAACATATTTATATTTACTCTCCACTTTTCTGCTATTTTTCCCCAAACTGGCCAATGTTTACACTTGGGGGAGGCCATACATGTTATTTGCCATTGTTAAGGCCAACTTATAAACTAGTGCAAAATAATTTCCACAAATGAAAATTAAACTCTAAAATTTCGCGGATATAACATTAATGTTTCGCACCGTCGCCATGTTTGTAATTTTTAACATACTGTCACGATTTAGGGGTGTGACTATTAAACGGGGTATGGACTGCATTACTGGATTTACTGCCACCTTATACACGCCACCCGGAACTACAAGCAATACAGCTGCAGAGATGTGTTTACTGCAACGCTGTGTACCAACGAGCGAGGCACGGACCACAGGAAACACCGCTCTTCTACTGATTGCAAGCGTTCGACTCCGCGGGATTGTGTTTACCGAGCCGTTGCTAGCAATGAACTGTTCCGGCTTTCAGGCGTCATGTCACAATATGAAACCTGTTTTGTATAAAATCTTTAAGTCTGGTTACGCTCTCTCTCTCTCTCTCTCTCTCTCTCTCCCCCCCCACACTTTTCACACTTTCTATCGTTTCATTACTTATCACCATCTAATGTAGAGAAATTTGCAGAATTTTACCAGATACCCTCGTTTTACAAGTGACTAAAACTGACTGATCTCAGCAACCCAGCCAGAAGTAGTAAATACTTCTGTTATACAATAATACCAAAGTTTGATGGACAGAGAATAAACATTCATTTCAAAGACTATCTGACTATACTCTTCAACATGACCATTTCTCACACCTAGACTTGCTGCTTCTGACTACTATTCCAACGTAACATCCCCAAACCTCAGATTACATCTGATATAAATGAATGAAACAAATAATTTATTGTGTTAGCATACTGGGTCTAGCTGACATTGCCAGATTATTAATTGGCCCTTGCCTGAACTCGCCCTGCCCCACCCGATATCCAGTCCGCCTCCGCGGTTAATTCACATCCATACACTTGCTGCATATATCAAGCAATTCAACGCAATGTAAGAAAAATCTTGTAAGATTTGAGGCTTTCACGGCGGTGACTATGAAGAAAGCAGTCTTCTGGGATTTGGCACCGTGTATATGTGGTGTTAACCGACGTTTCGGAGGAACGTATCGCCTCCATCTTCAAGGTAGAAGGAAACATATAAGAAATCCGCAAGCGAAGAGACCGTGAGAACCGGTAAAAGCAGACTGGTGAAGACCACCGACGTTTCGAAGGAACGCGGGTAGACGTACACCGAACTACAGGGCGTTATAACCCAAAGGATCACACTCTTCATAACTGCAATTTGCTGAACAGACCACTAGATGGACAGTATCTATGTTATAAATACTGTATTGACATTTGCGCCGATCAAAGTGGCCGCGCGATCTAAGGCATCAACTGTCTTCGCTCGCTCGAACGCTGGGATCGTGGGGTTCGAATCCCACACAAGGCATGGATATCTGTGTACGTTTATTCTGTGTTTGTACTGTTCTGTGCGCAGGCAGTGGCCTTGCGACGGGATGCCCAAGAAGTCCTCCCGACTGTGCACAAATTAAAAAACTGAAAAAACGGCCAAAGCCCAAAAAAAGGGCTGTAGAGCNCAGAATTGAATAGAACTGACACTGGCGCTGAACAGCGGTTCACGTGTAGTATGATGCTTTAAACAGTTGGGTGGGTGGGGTGGGGGGAAGGAGCGAATATACCAAGAGATATTGGGTTTTCCTCAGGTGAGGACGGAAACAGATCCAGTTTCCGAAACGTCGTTTTTTTCTTAGTTATCTTAAAAACCTGGACGATGGATAAAGTCCGAAAACCCAATATCTCTGCGTGTTATACACCATCGTCAGAATCCTATAGTAACTGAATATACCAAGGAACAACTTACTGTAAAATGTTTAGCATCTACTTGCTACCACGTGCACTCCGAGTTACACCGAGATACAGAGGGCATGAAAGTGGCTCTACTGGAATTCTCTGATTGCCATTTATATTCAATGATTCTCTGAAGGTTTGTGGCCATAGCTGATCCATTATAACAAAACAGGTATCCCTCGTTTTAAGAACGCTCGATTTACGAATTTTCGCTACAACGAATCTAGTCAATTTGTAGCTATTCTTAATTTATTCGCTACAACAAACAAGTTACGTTCGTTAGATTTTTTTTGCGAAGGAGAAGAAATAATTATATAACCTTAAAAAAATGTTAGGAACAGATGTTCTTCTCTGTAATGTGTGTGCACTATATTTATCATGACTGCTGGACAAGCATTAGCTTCTACAATGTATCTTATTGTTTTTGCAGTCGGCAGACCTGCCAGCAAATGAATGCCCTCTACTTCTGTTACTACCAGACCAACATGTAGCCTATATTTGTTTTATAGCCACGAAGACGTGTGACTAAGAGGCTTCGTTTGCACAATAATGAGCTTCATTGCATCAGCTATGAGAAAATAAACGGTAAGAAAATAACACAGTTTTATTTGAGACAATAAGTATCATAAACAGAAAAAGCTGTCCTTATTTTAATGCTGTTTACGTTACCGCCACGTGCCGCTGGGGAGGTAGGGGTCCTCCGTTGCGCAACATGTCACAATACGTTCAAAATGATGGGAAATGTTTCTGGGACTCGTGAACAAGTCGGTGACTTACATATAAAGTAATGGGAATACCATTTTCGATTTATGAATTTTTCACTTTATGAACGGTTTTCGTGGAATGAATTACCTTTGCAAATCGAGAGATACCCATATTCCGTTGGACATCATCTGAGGTAGGGCCTTCAAACCTGCATGACATACGTTTCGGAAATTCCCTTTACTCCCGTCTTCAAATTATTTATTATCGTTATACTGGTGCATTCACTTCTTTTATTTTAAGCTTCAGCACTGGTAATCTAGCTAGTGGATTACCATACCCGTGTCGTATACAGAGTCATGGGTTTGACCCAAACTGTGGCCACTAATCTTAAAATATCTGCATAATGACAACCACTTACGTGAAGATGAAGTAGAGTCAGAATAAGTAACGCAGTGTATCTCAGTTAATGGGAGTTTCTGTTCACTACGTAAAACATCGATACTGAAGCCACCAATTTCATGCAGACTGCAGTCATATACTATTTACTGATGTCTAACTACAGTCTGATAAATGAGAAAGCCTTTCAATCCGACCCCATGAAATTCTGTGTTTGATTCAATTACACTGCAACTAAAAACGAGTAATTAATATTTCCTGACAATGCACAAGACATTATTTCCCTCTGGAAGCTACGGACCGTTTACCAGGTTAAACTCTATACAATCGATTAATGGTTCTAAGTAAAACTGCCCCTGTACTTATAATTACGCAAAACGCCATGAAAACAGTTGGGCGGAAGGGGATACAGCTTCACGTATTCTTAACCTTCAGAGGTAAATGGTCAGCTTCGCGCTCTGGCCGATTTATCCCAGGGGAAGGCG